TCTGTTAAAATTCATGGAGCTGGGGCTGGAGAGATTGCTCAGTGGTTAAAAACACTGGTTGTTCTTGCAGAAGACCTGGGTTCGAATCCCAGCACCCACATGGCAGCTAACGATTGTCTGTAACTCCAGTTCCAGGGGATCTGATGGCCTCTTCTGTCCTCCATGGGCATTGCATGACATGGGTGCACTTATCTACATGCAGGCAATACACTCGTACACATAAAATAAAAATAATAAAATATTTTTTAAAAAATTTATAGAGCTGTACACTAAAAAAAATTTTATCATCAAATTAAAATAGCGAAACAAACCCATTGTGAACATTTTTATGAAAATTAAGTATATTCTGAAAAACTAAGATGTTGATGAGAACAGCCACGCAGCCTTACAGGTTTTGCAAATCTCTTTAGCTTCATAGACGGCAGGACTTTCATCTGCTCTGGCATTCACTCTGTTGTGGTTCCATGTGTTACAGTCTCTGGAAAACCCCTCTGATACAGTTGAAGAAGAACAAGAGTGAAAAGAGCCAATAATATCTCAGTGTGATTGTGATGGCAACGGTTTGGACTCTGTGGATCCCCCAAAGTGGCCAGAGATCCCCAAGGGTTCTTGGGCTGCACTTTGAGAATCACAGCTACAATGCATCGTAACATATTTTAGTCATTGTTTTTTACAGAACTTGATTTAGTCCCCCTATATCTACATACCCCTTGTTCACTTAATGGTTTTGTTCACACTGACCCTTTTTTAAACTTAAATTTATTTATGGAAGAAATTTTCTATATCTCCTACAATAGAAAATCACTATAAATTCCTGTAAAAAGAGTAACCACAAAATAATTAAACAATGAATAATATGACGTGTGTGTGTATATACATAGAACATGTTAACCCTTAATTATATGTATGTATGTGTGTATGCATGTATCTGTGTTTATATTTCCCTATGAAACCTCTGAATTCATTTCTTTCTGCTTGTCACAATTTGGAAAACATTAACATAAAGAAGTAATGACAGTGTCTAACTCTGATAGACAATTTGTATCAACCCATAGAATCCTGACAATTGCTGTGAGAGGTCTTTAATCCCAGCACTCGGGAGGCAGAGGCAGGTGGACCTCTGTGAGAGCCAGACTAGCCTGGTCTACATAGTGAGTTCTAGGCCAGCTGGGGTTACAGGGAGACCCTGTCTCAAAAATAAATGATGAACAATAGATGATAGATAGATAGATAGATGATAGATCGATCGATAGATAGATAGATAGATAGATAGATAGATAGATAGATAGATAGATAGATAGGCTACAGGGAGACCCTGTCTCAAAAATAAATGATAGATGATTGATTGATAGATAGATAGATATAGATAGATAGATAGATGACAGAGATAGATAGATAGGTGATAGATAGATGATAGCTAGATTAGATGATAGATAGATGATAGACAGACAGATAGATAGATAGATAGATAGATAGATAGATGATAGATAGATAGATAAATTTAAAAAACAAAAAAATTAAACAGTAATTGAAGTACAAGATGATTAAAGAAAGTGCCCAGTGTTCCAAAGCAAGCAAATTCTAGGGCTGGGATTTGAACCCAAGACACAATGCCACCAGAGAAGAGACCTAGATTGTCATTCAGACCCTGCCTTGAGTCAACACTAGGATGTGCCACTCCCCTTAAGGCCCTTATCAAGTCCACAAGGGAGGTGGACCAAATCAGTATCTGTAAATTGAAATATCTGGTGCTTAGGCAGGGGCTGGGCAGGTCAGGGGTGGGGACTGGATGTGATGCCTTGTGGAGGGTAGAGGGAATTCACATCTTGAAAAAAGAAAGTATGTGTTATTCAGTTTCAAGTGGTTTTGTTGCTGGTTTTGGTTTTGCTTCTTCCTTTTTTCTTCTTCCTTATTTTATTTTATAAGAGAATATTGAAGTCTAGATTTTCTTTTTCTGTAAATTTTCCTGCTTTTACACTGGGTGGAGGGGCTGGCTGTGGCCTTGGATTAGCTGGCTTCTGACTTCTCACTCAGGTTATCTCTTTGGACTTGGAGGAGTTATGATTAAATAAGCTGTTTTTATGCAGTGATAGAAATAAAATCCAAATTCCAGAAAAAAATTTAAGACAACAACAAAAGAGGAGAAAGACTTAGTAAGTGTCTTAACACAGCTACATAAATATTGATTAAATGCTGGGTTAATTGAAAAGTCAAGGTACGTTAATAGAATAACAACGTGTACTTCTCTGTGCTCCTTTTGTGTTGTATTAGAGTAACTCAGCAATATTTATCCAGCACTTAATTCTAAGTTTACACAGAGCTAATGTAATCATGGGATGAGCTTATTGAAATTCTTTTCTTAGGCATAGAGGCTTGCCCAAGAATGGGCCCTATTAGAAACTTAGTCAGCACTTACTAGAATAGTAAGTATGAACATGTGATGAGGCCATTGTGTGCGCAGAGAAAAGTTTCCTGAGACAGTTTCCGTGTACGTTTGGCTGTTTTGTTTTAGAGGGTCGGTTGGTATGCTGTTTTCCCCCCTTCTTAGCAGATTTTCCTTCTAAATCCTGGCACTTAACAATGTTGAGGAGCGAGTTTCTCTCTGAATCTACCGTAAAGGACACTGGTGTCTTCACAATTAGTCCAAACTCGAGTTTTTGGTTTTGCATATTTGTGTGGATTCCTGCATTTGTTTCTAAGTGAAAGAGGAGGGATGAGGCCAGATCTATAAAGGGAAGCTTGAAAGATGAGTTTATTCATTAATGACATCATCAGGATTGTATTTTCTCTTGGTTAATAAACTATTTGTTTGGAGGGTGTTGTAAGCCAGCCACAGCCAGTCATGCCATTTCTTGGAAAAGATTTGAAGCAACTGGTAATTGAAATGATAATCATTTGATCACAGAGCTATTTGAAAATAACACTCATCTCCAAACGCGTCTCTTCTAGGAAACCTTATTTGGTCAAAACGTTGCCAAATTCCATCTGGGCTAATGTTGAGACTGATATACCATGCTACTTAATTATTTTCCAAAACTTTCTAAACCCTGTGGTTGGTGTGCCCCATTCGAAAAGCTGTTTCCATATGCTTTGAAACAATACACACCCTGAATTTTTATTCTGATATTTAAAAATCACCATGGAACAGCTTAAAATGCAAGATGAGTGGAGGTCTTTTATCTCAGCAGGCTGGGGAGCCAAGCATGGTTGAAGTCCGTCCTTGAAACAGTACTTTGTAATGAGCCCCATTGTTTATAAAGTATTGAGATATTTTCTTGAGTAGAGGGTAAGAACACAATTTTCATTTTGTTTCCCTTTACTGGAAGTTCATATTTGATCATGATAAGAGAAAGGATCCCATTACTGAAGTTTTTATTTTCCACTCTTAAGGGACTATTTGTGACTGTGCTGTTCCATAAACCCCCCTCCCCCGCCCCCATGAACAGCCTGGAACCGGGTGAAGAAGAGGAAGATTTTAGATCTTACCTTTAAAAGATTTTTAAGAACAAAATCCAGGGCTTCTTATTGTGTGAAAGTGATCTTAATAAACCCTTTTTTGTTTGAGTTGGAGCAGTATATAGGTGGGGGGGGGGGGGGGGGAGGGAGAGCTGTTCCATAAACCCCCCTCCCCCGCCCCCATGAACAGCCTGGAACCGGGTGAAGAAGAGGAAGATTTTAGATCTTACCTTTAAAAGATTTTTAAGAACAAAATCCAGGGCTTCTTATTGTGTGAAAGTGATCTTAATAAACCCTTTTTTGTTTGAGTTGGAGCAGTATATAGGTGGGGGGGGGGGGGGGGGAGGGAGAAGAGAGAGAGAGAAGGGAGAAAAGAGTCATGTTTAACAGCAAAATTAGCTAAATTCGGTTGTGAATTCCTTTTGTTTAATAGCTTAGAAATATCTTCCTGTTGTTTTGTCAAAACTATTTTGAAGATTTCTGTAAGCTTTAGGGGGTTTTCACAGCTAAGCTTTCTTCAGAAATGTGAAATAAATGAAAAGAAGTCAGTTCAAGTTAAAATGTCAAATGCTTCAAATAATTTAACTTAAAACCAGTGAGAGGATAGCGTGTCTTTTCCAAAGCCTCTCTGGGCGAAGGGCCCCTTTGTTCCCCATGTAGATTATCTACTAAATATCTTGCTGGATTAATTCTAAGGCAGAAGACTTGCCGTTTCCTGGAAGCAATTAGAGATGCTTAAAATTCAAATTTATGATCCATGGGAGGAACTTAAGCTTCCACTACTTTTCTTAGATTCAAAGACTTTCTCATCCCCCACTTCCCCCCCCCCATATGTATTAAGAGAGAGGGAAAAAAAGTTCATTTCTCAGCTTACAAAGTTTCGGAGAAACATGAGAATGTGTAAGTTTCTTTCAGTGGGAAGCACATAACATTTATGAAGTATTTCTTTTGGGATTACATCACAGTTTTATTTAATTTTTAGGACAAGAGTTAAATTCAATATTTGTGTGGAAGCCAAGGGAAAATGTACCATAAACATAGGAATTTGAGGGTGAGTCAGAGTTCCAAGAATTCTAGATTTACTTAGGCCATTTATATGAAGACGGGCTAACCATTAGTCATTCAGCCTTACTTTTTACATTTGCAATTAATCGCATCTAAAAATTACCTTTCACCAAGTAGTTTCAGAGGCAGAGGAGCATTTGTGACTAGCATTAAAAATGCCTGTTAGAATTACTGCTCTATTTTTGAATACCTTCTAACTGCATAGCAAACATGTCATGGAAATTATTCTTTCAGTAATGAGCACTGGAAAACCAATGAGCTGAAGTGAGTTTCTTGGAGACCCTCTGATCCTGAAAGCCACGTGCTGTTGGTTTGCCCAAGGTTAGACCATTCCTATAGGGCAGGTGGGCTTTGCTGAGAACAGATCATTTACCTCAAACCCAGAATCAGCGTTTCCTGTTCATCCCACTTTCTTTTCTTTATTAATTCGCTGAGAATTGTATACGTTGTATTTTGATCACGTGCATCCCCTCTTGTAGGATGAAGTCATCGCCGTCTCTGAGAAGGTGATAGTGAAGCTTGAAGACCTGGTCAAATGGGCGCATTCTGATTTCTCCAAGTGGAGGTGGAGGCTGCGAACAGGACCGGCGAAAACCGAGGCCTTAGGAAGGAATGCACAGAGGGAGGCTCTGCTCAGGTACAGGCAGTCGACCCTCAACAGCGGACTCAACTTCAAAGATGTGCTCAAGGAAAAGGCCGATCTGGGTAAGGACAGCTCCTGCTTCCAAGTTCAATATGTGGCAATGTAGAGTGAGCATTATTCATGCTATAGACTTCTTTCCAGAAACCCAATAATCCATATATTTACTTGAGACTATGTAAGAATTAAATATGCAATAATTATATGGGTAAGAATTATTTAAGAATTATATAATATATACGAATTATGTGTTAAGAATTATATATTGTGGGGGTGGAGAGATGGCTCCATGTTTAAGAGTACATACAGCTCTTGCAGAAGTCCTGAGTTCAGTTCCCAGCACCCATTTTGGGCAGTTCACAACTGCCTGTAACTCCAATTCCAGGGGGATCTGATGCCTCTAGCCTCTGTGGGCACCTCCACTCATGTGTGCCTACCCCCCCACAGATATACATACCAACTTTTTTTTTAAAAAAGCATTACATATTATGCAAGAATTATATATTTGATAAAATGTTTGCCTTGCAAGCAAGAGGGCCTGAGTTTGATCTCCAGAACTCACATAACAAAGCCAGGCATAGTGGTTCCCGTGTGTGGTGCATGCTCTGGGGGGGCAGAGGCAGGAGGATCCCTGGGACTCACACATAGATACCCATGCATACAAAGAATTATATATTCTTTATAATGATATATTATTTTATTAAAATCATATGTATGTGTATTACATATGCACATATAATTGTTTTTACTCTAATGGAACCCAAGAACATGGATCAAGAGCTGCCTGTGGTGGGGATGGGCATTGCCTCTTGGATTCTAGGTCCTTCTTTGTGGAGAGTCTTGTATTCGATAATATAACACGTGGCCTTAAAGAACTTCTCTGAGCCATCAAAATATAAGACTTAATTAGGGCACTTTAAATTGAATTAACAAAGAGTTTAAATATCTGCTGTAAGCAAATAGTGTGACATCTATTAATATCAAGTCAGAATTTCCCAAAGAAGGCAAAGTGAAGGGTGGACCACTGAATGTGGGAAAGTAGAACAAGCTAGAAGCTGGCCGGTAACTTCTGGCACAGATTTCCTTTGCGATTCCAGCGTTCGGTGCTCACCATCAGCTACACGCTTTTTCATTCTGTCCTTCCTGTTTTCCGCTCTAAGGTTAAAGGGAAGCTTGAACTTTGGAGTTCTGACTATATTCGAATTCTAACTCTTGTCATTCAGTTGTGTGGCCTCAGGTAAATATGTTTAGTGCTAAGCTCCAGTCCCTCCTTGTAAAAAATTAGGGTCATTTTGAAATGTAGCATGTGATGACACAGAAGGACTTGAAGGAATCCCACTGCCTCAGCAACTGGGCCTCTGGTGAGCGGCTTGTTTGTCAGTGGCCCTCACTACTTTACCCTTCTAGTGTGAGACTGGAGCTGTTGATCTCTGAGTTAGACTAGTTGTTTCCTCTTTAGGCAAAGAGGGACTTCACTTTTAACATATTAAAGCATCTTTTTCTTTCATTCTAGCACAGTGCTGCTTTTTGGAGCCCTGGTTTATGCCTTATGTGACAACTTCCTGTTTTTTGTTTTGTTTTGTTTTTTTTCTTAAACCTAGAACTCAACTTTTACAAGAAACCTTGACTATTTATTTTAACTGACATAAAAAAGACCAAAAAGCACTGGGAACTAACTGTCTGTCTTTCATGTGATTCTGGTTTGTAATGAGCTGTGCTGTGTTTTAGCAATAGCATTAAGATTTCCTTGCAGTTTAATAGCCAGGAATTTCCTGGCAGCTTTTGAAAGATGTCAAGACAGTAACATTTTGGACATTCCAGCCCGATTTCATGTGAACAATTAGACAAAATTATTAAAATAGTTCTCCTTCTAAAACCAAAGGATTTTTAATAGTCTTTGTTTATATGCTGTTACACAGCCCAATTTTATCAACACACCGTGACTACTTTTATGACGTGTGAAAATGTTGAACAATACGTCTGCTGTGTTACTTTCCTAATGTGTGGACCCAATTGGATCTCCATTGTCTTGTGTTTTTCTTAACATTAAAATAACCTTTCTTTGTTTGATTTTTTTTGAGTTATGGAATATACTGTTACTAATAAAACATTAAACAGGAAACCCATGGGAGACAAAAGGATATGTAGATGGTTAAGCTTCACGGCACACAAATAATCAAGAGTATTTATAGCAGGGTTGTTTTGTGTTTCAAATGGATAGTTTGTTAATGAGCACAGAAAGAAACCCAGTTTCTTACCTCCATCATAAAAGATTTTGAGACTTCTGGATTCTAAAAAACTATGCATAATCTAGGTTTTGTTTTTTTTTTTCCAATTGGTTCCAGAAGAAATTGTTTGCATGTCTATTCAACCTACTTGCAGGTGGTTTGGATTGGAAAATGTAGATTAGCGGTTTTGAAATCTAGTTGTTTTTTAGATTTACTAAGGAGGAATTTGGTAAATTACCAAATCTAGCTTCCCCAGGATCTTCTCAGTGAGACTGAGGCAAAGCCAAAATTGTGGACTGATAAAAGACTTCCTGGGTGATTCAGTTTTTCTGTTTCCTTCTCCTTTGGGAGACGTTTCTGAGATTGGTGCTGAGGAAGGAGATATTTAACAGGAGACTTGATTGAGAAACTCTCTGGTGGGCAAGAAAGACCATATACCTTTTTCTTTTATGTGTAAACTACTCCTTTAAGGACAGAATTTAGGGCCTTGAAATTCTGCTCGGTTGGTATGAACTGTGGGGAATTTGAGACAAATAGCTTTTGTAATTGGAATGCACACTGTGTCGTAATAATGTGCAAAGAGAAACAAAAACTTTCCTTAATGTAATGACTTCCCATTATCTGCCTGGTCTTGAGTTTGTGAGTCCATATTGTTGGGACTTAGACGAGGGGCTCAGGGAGTGTCATTTGCCCTGCATGGTCCAGTCCCAGCCACTTTGTCTTCGGCCTCTCCTTTTCTCTGTGTGCTGTCTGTACCTTTCTATCTACTCAGTGGTTTTCTTATCTTTGTCCTCCTTGGCTACACTGGAACCGCCTCTAATACCGCACACTTAATGGAAGCTCACAGGCTTGCTAGGTTTTCTCCTCTATGGAATCCTTCCAGCTCCTCATTGTTTAGCAAAGAAAGATGAACTTTGAGATGCTTAAGACCACCCTCCCACCCCCAACCCCCATCCCCACCCCTTGGAAGTTCAGAAAGGATGAGAAGGTCTCATTTTTTATGGTTAAAGTAAAACTTCAACATATTTCTTTTTGAAAACTGAGTTGTTCTGTCCTGTTGAAAAGATCAAGAATAACGAAATAATTTGGTTGACTCCTGAGGAAGGAATTTTAAAATAATTAAAATCTGTGTTTAGGTAGAATAAGTTCCCTTTAATTCCGGTTTGTATCAGTTCCTGTCTCTCGCTGAATAGTAACAACAACAACAAGAATAAAAACCCACAAGAGTGTTCTCAGGAATGAATGTGTGTCTGTTAAGAAATTAATTCTCCACAAAGAGAAACTCTGCCCCAATGGCAGCTTTCAGTAGCTACTCTGATTCTAAGCACATCTCTTTCATTTCTTTTTTTAAATCCCCTTTCCCCTTGAGGGGGCTCATTTGGGTAATATTTGAGGATGTCCTGTTTGCTTTTTTGAAGCTTCTAGTTTTCATTTGAGTCTAGAAATGATTGCTGACAGCAGCTCCAGATTTAGATCCTGGAAAAATGAATCATTAAAACAAATCACTCCCAAGATACAAAGCACACTTCTCTCCTCTTTGTCCTTTCAAAGAAACTTCAACACAACACCAATAGAAATGTGACTTTCCTAGGTGAGGTCTTTTATTCTTTCAGCCTGTTTCATCCTGAAGTTCAGATATATAAGAAAATAGAGACAAATAGCCATGTAAAGACAGAAGGGTTAAGGAATGTATTATTCATAAGCATAAGGAACACAAGAACCTGTTTTTCCAGAAGAATCAGGCTGATTAAATCATTCACTGCACAAGCCTCTAGTTATTTATTTTTGTCTTTAGAATTACAGTACTTAGCTTTGTAATAAAGTGGACCTGATACCCATATTTGGTATGGCAGTTGGGAGTCGTCAGATGAAGAATTATTTCATTTTACAAAAATTTTAGCAACTAAAGAATATAAATACTATCAGTTTAAACATAGCAAACTGGCACATTTTTTTTATTCCTTGGGCTATAGTTTGAAAAAAAAAATCAAATTATTTTATGCAACATTATTTCTTGCAGTTTCTTTAAGTATGGAAGCTGCAGTCTAAACTTTATTGGCCTATAAATATGTCATTATAGTTGGACTACATTTATATGCTTCGGATTGTTGTTTAAGCCAAGAAAATATGTCTCTACAGGTTGACTTTTTATTGAAACCCTTTGAGGCATACAACAAAGTGTGTTTTAGGCCAAGGTTATTAAAACAGCATTTTCATTTTTTTGCAGCAGACTCATTGTCAATTACCACGCCGCAAACTGTCTGCGGATGGGCAGTTATGAATGGTCTTGTCTCTAAATGTGCCTTTAGAAGAAGACATTTAAAAAGAGGGGAGACTGAACTAACTGGAGAGAAACAGACAGAGGGAGGGAGGAAGGGAGGGAGGGAGGGAGGATCTGCCTGAATCTAATGATGATCTAATACTTGCTTCAGAATCCTATCAAACACAGAGTGGTCTCCCCTGTCCCTTCCCAGGTTGAGGTTTACCCTGTGCTTTGGGGAGTAGACAGTACAGTGGGTGGCCATCAAAAGCATGTATTGGTCATCCTATAGATCTGTTGCTTTCTGAGAATACTCCGGAAGTCACCATATGCTGGTACCTTCAGGTTCTTTGTGTGTACAGTGGATGATAATGTGCTCTTGATGTACCACACTGGACTCTGAAGGAGATCAGTGGAGAACAGATTAGTTGGCATCTACAGGAGAATTTGCAACGTTGAAGTCTAAGGCGGTATTTTCATTATATTAGTGTTATCTGAAGGCAGTTCTGAGTAACGAGCAGCTTTGTTAGCACTTGGTTCATTTTCAGGGTCCCAGGCCCACAGTTTCTCATGACTT